ACCACAAGTTGAATGAAAACCCAGAAACAATTCACGCAAAATGATTTTAAGAGGAAATTGAATTGATTACTTTTGAATTCTTGTTAAATAGAGCATCATCATCATTATAGAAATCGAGCCATTTTATTTTTCTACTTCATATTCCAAGTCCAACTTTTCCTGTAAAATTTTGGATCCTTCCAATTTTTCCACCCCAGATCTCAGTTTCTTTGTCTTTTCACTTGATTATTCTATCTGGGTTTTGAATTTCACTGTAAGTTATCAAGACTGACCCAATCATGAATCCCTTTTCCTCTGGCACCCGCCTAAGGTAAGTCTTATTGCAGCTTTAAGAATTATGTTTTTCGTAATTTTGTGTTCTGTTATGGGATCAAGTATTGGAATTTCCAACTGGGTTGTTTCGATTTCACGTATATGTGGTGATTCTGCTGGAATTTCGTACTTAGTCCTAAATATATAAGATAATGTGGCACTTGAATGTAGCTTTAGGTGGATTTATACGATTACTTTAGAACCAAAAAAAAAAAACAAAAAAGAAAAAGAAAAAAAGGAGAGAATAATTATATTCTTTGGGATTATGGAATGTACCGATGAAAGCCTGGAGCATTTACATAGTGATTTAGTGGCGCAGTTTGTAGTTTTGCGAGAATATATATTGATCTGGAGAATTCATTTTATGAGTGATTGAATCAATTTACCAGTAAATTGAGGAGGATATAATCTGATATTGATCCAAGATTTCTATAGTGTGAGATTACATCACAGTTAGAGGTTCTTGTTTTTCTGTTTTATGACGCAAAGTTGGAACTTTGATTGGTTTAGAACGGTCGAATGCTCAATGATATAAGCTGTGCATTCGAATTTGACCCAATATACACAGTAATGAAGCATTACTAGCTATTTTATAATCATTTGACAATTTAATGTCAAGTAAAAACCATCCTATTTGTTCCTAAGCCCACTATATCCTTGGCTTCCATATAATTTCATCTTGAATTTGGATATAATTGGCAAGATTTAGCTTGCTTTGGTTGCTGGTGAGTAATTTGCTTTCTATGGATATCTAATAGGATTTTGACTTAGCTGACTATTCAAACCTTTTATAGTTGTCTATCTTTTGGAGTTAACTTTCAAGGGTCATTTGAAAAGGACAGGAGGGCATGACTGAAGTGCTGCCGTCATTCTCGAACTCAAATTAACGTTTATATGCAATTTCTTAACTTCCATTAACTGTGGCTTCGCTGGTCAAAATACAACTATACTTGCTTGATATATCATTTTTTTTTCATTTAAACGTTCTGCACCATGACGATTTTGTTTTTATTGTTTAATTACATGTCCAGTCCGCCATTGGATGAGATTCGTTCAAATGTTTGTTATAAAGACTTCTATACTAGTGAATGATTGCCTCCATGGTAAAGGATGGAAATATTCGTGCTTCACAATATTCATGGATTTTGATTTGTTCTTGAAAGGCGCTGTGAAAATTAGGCCCAAACATGTGTGAATGACCATATATGAATATCAACTTGTAAGGTATACTATGGACATAAATAAAAAATTGAGGATTAAAAGAAGTGGCTTTATTTATGAGCTAGTTGATCTATATAATGCTTGAATAAATATTATTTGGCTTACAATATTTCCCGATAGGTTGTCACTAAATTGATATTACAACAGTGATCATAATTTCCATGGTATTACTAGTTAAAGGAATCATGGAGATGGGGAACTCAGTTACATCACTACTTTTAATTAGACAAGTTACTTTTCTTTATCATATTGTACTTTTTTAGATCTTTAGATTTAGATAAAGCACAGGCATACCCAAGGAAAATATAACATTCATTTCTACTAAAGTAGTCTTATTTATCAGATACAAATCTAGTAACTGCATTAATATCGAAATATTTCATAATTATTTGCTTTCATAGAATAAGAAAATTACATTCTGAAAGAAATTCAAACTTAAACTTTTTGTCAGTAAATTATTGCTTGTCGAATCCAAGATATGGTATATGCACATAATATGTGCCTAAAGTTCAATAAAAATTAAAAAAATAATATCTTTTGGTATGCTTGGGAGGTGTAAGGTAAAGTCCATGTTTTCGTATATTATACATGCACAAAACAAATAGACTTAGTTCCCATTTTCTGTCTTTATCATCAACTTTTACTCTCAATTGAAACGACTAGTGAAAACAAAGCTTCAAGAAAATATAGGGACACCGTTGGATTCAATGGTCATAATATGCAATTAAAAGAATGTCACATGGTAAAAATACTTAAGACCCCGTTTTAATAATCAATTTTTTAGTAGAGTTTGATAAAAGTTGATGAATTTTTTAAAGCAAAAGTGAGTTTGATAAAAGTTGATGAAATGTATGGTTGAAAAGTTGATAAAAGTTGTGGGTCCATGAAATGTGTGGTTGAAATTAATTTTTAATTTTGACTTGGATTTTTATCTACGTTTTTAGGTAAACCAAACCGGGGTTCAGTATATTTCTTCCTGAAATTAGTAAAACTATTGTTTTTGTGGTTATCCTGTTGATATGTTTTAGAAAGCTGTAAATAAATGAACTAAGGGACAATGGACTTCAGTGTCTGACAATACTCTTAGCATCTGCGATGACTACTACTTGATACGATTGTGAACTTCTTGCTATTTTTATGCTTGCATATTAGATACATCTTCATAACATGGTTGCTGCTGTCACAGTTGACATAAAAGTTGTTCTGATACATCAGCCACTGACATTCCTAGCGCAGCTTTTCCTGGTTTTTTTAAATTACGCTCTATTTTGTTCGTTACTCCATTTCTTTTTGGATAAGTGTAATTTCTTTAATAGCTCCAAGACATAGAATTCCCAATGAGTTCTATGCTTTTGATTGCTAGATAATAACGAATTTGATGTAGTGAGAAGTGAGGAAAGCACGACTTGAATAATAAAATACGACCTAATATTCACAATGGAATACCTACTAATTGATGAAGCTTGAGAAAATTGTCAAAGTTTTATGTAAAATAATGAAACCTGTCCAACAATAAACTCTATTCTTGTTATCTAAAGAAATCCTACAGCCCTAACTCTATATTATTATTAAGTATTAT